GTTATTTAATAAACATAGCCTAGTCTGATACAAGGCCAAAAGTTTGTGGCACCCAGTGAAAAGTAAATTCATTATTCAATCCTAATAATTAATTAAACTAGCCCACTTAACATGATCACACGTCGAATTGTTATATAATAAATGTTGTAAACCAAGGAAGGTTACTGAATAGAATAATCACACGAAGGTTTGTAGTGAACGATAATACTTAGGACAAGAACAACACATATAAGATTCGCCAGCGGTGCGTATAAGAAGTAGTCAACTACTAAAAGTGAATCAAGTGAATTCCACAATGAATTTCCAACTGCAGGATATCTACCAACTGCCCCATGCGGTCATATGTGGCACAAGGCCGAATTTAATGTGGGGTATCCCAGACTGTAGGCTTGGCTAAAAATTCCCCGTAGATCCCATATATAACGGGGTCGGGTATCTGTTTCCCGAGACGAGACTCTGCCCTTCGACATAGCCTGGTCTGGGTATCCTCTCTGCTCGGAGGCAGAGTGTTTGTTCATCACAGCTGGGGACGAATCTCCAACTGCAGACCAACATACAGTATTTACAACTGTATTTATGTCAATGGGGACATATTCATTATCGTTCGTAGGTATGTTACAAGAATAAGGTTACACTAGTTTTATACATTAACTTATCCACATACAACTTCATTCACGTTCTTAAAATATTAACAAATGATAATTTGCTCTAATTTCACTGTTTTTCAATATAAACCATATTATTTTAAAGTTTTAATCAATTCCTTGGGTTTCATTCTTTTTAGACATTTCTATACGCATTATGTAGAGTGAGCAATTCAAAATTTTAAGAACATCGTTGAAAAATGTATGTATTATATATTTAAGAAAATAGTTCATTAATTTTTTTTTAATATTAAGATTTTCAAAATAAAAATCACAAGAATTTGGTAATTAGAAACAACCAATAATATTGCGGCATTCTTCTGCTTCTATGAGGCGTGTCTAGGAATTTAGCGATCATGTTTCTCCAAAATCACCTGTCTTTTGTGGCTCTTAATAAATTTGACCTTTTGCAACATATTCCGTCATCCATTTACTCAAGCTTACTACGTAAGCTATGCGTTGTTTTTTTTTTTCTTTTCTGTCTCTCTTGATTTCAATATATCCTGCATGTCTCAGACATTCTAATCCAAGGATGGCCAACCTGTGGCGCATGCGCCATAAGTGGCGCATTGGATTCTTTTGATGAAAAGTTCGCGACTGTCTGATTCCAACTTGAAGAATTGTTTGTTGCTTTCAGTTAAGAATTTAACTTCTACTATTGCTGGTTTGAAGCAGAATCAAAAGACACATTAAAGTTATTTATGTTTATTTTGCCTATGTAAGCATTATAAACTCTGCCATATTCCCTCTGCAAAATCTGAAGCGAAAAAAATAGTCAAAGCATTGACTGATGCCCCCCCCCTTTCAAAACTCCTGGATACGCCCCTGGTCATAAGCATATATTTTTCAAATAAATAGATTTTATTATAACATTAAAATATGTCCAGATTACAACACGTACTGAAAGGAAGTGAAAGTTTGTGTGGCGCATTTGAATTAATCGTACAAAATATTGGCGCATGGAATCAAAAGGTTGGCCAATCCTGTTCTAATCCCTTTTACTTCATTATGTTTCCTAAAAAATTCAACTGTGTTTTCCTGGTGTTAAGTATAACATACCTTTTTGTTTCCAGTAGGAATAAAGAAAGATATATCTGATACAAACAAGTAAATCAAAGGAAAGCTGTCACTCTCTAAGACAAAAAAAATGTTTGTGGACAAACTCAGAAAAAACTATCTCAATGTAAAATGCTCAATAACTTTCTATAAAAATATGTCCTTTATTTCTGGTATCAAGTAAAAGTATTTTATTAACGAAAAAAAAAAAGAAGGAAAGCCTAAATAATAATAATAATAATAAACAAAATGATTGACGTAACACTTCAAGTATTTTTCAACACTTCTGTGAGCGTTTTAAGAAAGCAAAAAAGAAAAAAAAATATTTATGACATTATTCCATAATGTTTCAACAGTATGTCTACCTTCTTCATGTTATGCTTAAAAATTACATGCAAGTATAAAAATATGAAAAATACACGAAAATTATCTTTGTACAAACGGCGCTTGTCTTGAGAAAAACGATCGTACTGGTAATCAACACGTCAAAACGAATGAAACACAACCAGCGTGAATGGCATGCGACTGAAACATCCGTAATATTATGGTGTTCGTGATCACATTAGAATTTTCCGTTAGATGTTATAATATATATATATATATATATATATATATATATATATATATATATATATATATATATATATGTAAGCAAATATATGGATATAGATCCGACAGTATGAAGAAAAATACAGAAAAAACAAACAAAAATCTTAATATGCAATTATGCTGTATTAATGTTAATATAAAGTCGACGTCAGACGTTTCGGTCTATTTAAGACCATCTTCAGGGACATTTTCCTTTAAACATAATTAACATAAGAACATATAAAAATTTAATAAAAAAGGCATATTAAGATTTTTGTTTGTTTTTTCTGAATATTATATATATATATATATTATATATATATATATATATATATATATATATATATATGACGAAATATAGTTTTAAGGTGTGCTATATTTATGGGATAATGTGCTCAATATCAGAGATAGTGCGTATATAAATAGGCGACAGGCTGTTTCATGCTGGACGCAATCGAAACGTTTGTAATAAATATGGCGACAAAGATGAGGACAATAGTCCCAATAATGTAAATAGTGTACATAATGCCTCATCTCAGAAATATACACAGATACTGAAAGGCCGAAACCTTGTAATATGGCGACAAAGATGAGGACAATAGTCCGAATAATGTAAATAGTGTACATAATACCTCATCTCAGAAATATAGACAGTTCTTTTTTTTAAATTTTCGGTGAATTGCGATCTCTTGGGAAAGATAGTTGTATAGTTTTCGGTTACCTTTTCCATGATATCGAATTTAAAAGAATCATTCTAGCAAACCGGCTGCTAACCAAGGCTAGAATATCCAGTGTAACCTGCTATTTCACCCATGACACCCGAGTAGATTATTCATTCCTTTCCGAACGTCGTCAATACAGAAGTGAATACCGTTTACGAGGTCGGAGTTTGATCTCCGTTCGCCAATTTCTCATTTCGTGACGATGACATCCATTTTAAAGGCTCACCCATCTAAATACCGCGAAGGCTTGTCAATGCTCAACTTCGGCCATCTGTCGATAACCAGTTTTTTTCTTTTTTTTTTTTGTTTTTACCCGGACTTGACCGCAAGTAATTGTAGCAGTCAGAAAGATGTTGTCTATTCATGCAAAAAACAAACAATCACATCCTGCGCAGATGCGTCGTTCATACTATTTTTTTTTCTTTTTTTTTATATATATTCGAAGGGGATTTTTGTTCTTGACCCGAACCAAATTACAAAGAGCTCGCCACAACAATTCTTACCCCCGCTGCGCATCCTATAAGAATTAGAACACTCCCCGCCCTATCAAACCCCAAACCCTTTGTCATTCTCTTCTGCACCCAGTTTTCGCTTTCAGGGTCTCTTTTTCCCACCGCCCATTTTATTTCACTTCTCCTAGTTCTTTGCTTACATTTCTTAACGAGGGAGGCGGTTGGAATTTTCTGTTCTTTCCAATATGATGACGACTGACACAATGGCATTTCTCCGTCTCCATCTTGTGCACGTTGTGGAGAAAGCGCGTACCTTTGTCCGTGTCAAATTGGCCGAGGCGTATTATTATTATTATTATTATTATTATTATTGTTGTTGTTGTTGTTGTTGTTGTTGTTGAAAAGAGCCCACCTTTTCTTTCCAGGCTTGGCGGCTGATTTAAGTTTTCAGCTGCTGAAATATTACAGAGTCTATGATAATCGGACAGAAAATTGAAAATATTAAAAGGAATAGCGAAAAGAAAGGGCAAAGTGGAGAGAAGGGATGAAGTAGTATTGAAAGAAAGAAAGAAAGAAAGAAAGAAAGTAAGAAAGAAAAGAAAGAAAGAAAGAAAGAAAGAAAACAGAAAGAAAGAAAAAAGAAAGAAAGAAAAAAGAAAGAAACAAAGAAACAAAAATAACTGAAACCAAAGCGAAAGAAAAAAAAAGGTTTGGTAAAAGTTGGGGAAAACAGAAAAGAACAATGATAAGTGCAAAGAAAGAAAGAAAGAAAGAAAGGAAAAAGAAACAATGGAAAGAAAAAGAAAGAAACAAAGAAAGACAAACGAAACAAACACACATGGAAAAAGAAAGAAAGAAAAAAGAAAGAAAGAAATAAACTAACAAACAAAAATAAGGGAAACAAAGCTAAAGGAAATTAAAAGGTAAACATTTTAAAAATAAAAAGTTATATGAAAAAGGTGAGAAAAAAAAAAAAAAAAAACAATGATAGATGAAAAGAAAAAGAAGAAAAGTAATTGCAAAAGAAACGAAACGAACTAAAAAGTATAGAAATGAGAAAAAATAAAAAAAGTGATAAAGAAAAGTAGAGAAACAGCAGACTAAGAGAGAAAAAAGATTATGAGAAAGAAAGAAATAAAAAATAACTGCAAGCAAAGTAGAGAGCCATACATCTAAGGAAATGTCTATGGTTGATAAAACAAACAGAAAAAAAGGCAATTAGATCTTTAAGATTTACTTAGTTTTATATTGAAAAAAAGAAAAAGATTTTACAAATCTAGTATTCATGGTTACATTAAGCGATAGATGAACTTTTCTCGCCAGACGAAAATTTGCGCCCCTTCACATTTGCGCCCAAGAACGACCGCTGCCTCCTTGCCCCCTCCTATCTAGGCTTCTAAAAGCAAGAAACACAAGAAGACGAATAATGTGAATTGTGTTCATTTAAAATAAAATAGAAAAATGCATTGAGAATTTATACATCCCTGCCTTTTATTCTTTCCAATATTCTGCGAACTTGACAAGAGAGAAAAGGAAAAATGGCGCCCTTCCTATTAAGTGAGGAATTTTCTTCTTCACCGTCTTAGCAATTTACGACAAGGTCTTTAAAATCTGTTTATGCTTGACCCCGCTAAGAGGAAGGGTAAATTCAAAGGAAAGAAAAGGAAAGGGCGAACGGGTAGGGCTAGTTTGATTTTAATTTAGTCGTCTTGAGTGTCTCTCCCAATATGTTGACGTTATCAGAGACCATATGACATGATGTAGTCTTCGCTTCTTCTTACAAAGTAAAAAGCTTTTCGAATTCTTTATGCTGTGTAATAAAAAACCTTTTTTCGTTTGAAATACATTCTTGCTCGGATACAATCTTCGTTCTTGAAAGAATTATCTATCTATCTATCTATCTATCTATCTATCTATCTATCTAGTACAACAATCAGTGAGTTTCTATCTACCCAATTTCACCCACAAGGCTTGTATTAACCAGTGTGATTGTTTTCAGGTGCTTTCCAAATGTGCCTCGCGCTGGAATCGCCACCTCAGGACGAAATAATCAACAAGTCACCACCTTAAAAATTGACCATGGTGTGTGTTTTATATATATATATATATATATATATATATATATATATATATATATATATATATATATATAATGCTGTGTTACATTAGAATATGCACATACCCACTACAAAAACTTTACATCTTGTTTCAACGTTAAAAAGATTTTTTAAAGTTTCATCTACTTTTGCGTTGAGTCCTGTTTTGAATTAATGTTTTTAACGCATACAACTAACTCTTCGTTTTTTACACACGCGCACACACGCACACATATATAATATATATATATATATATATATATATATATATATATATATATATATATATATATATATTTATTATATTTTATATTTTTGGCAGCATATTTTCATTTAACCATGGACGATTAAAGAATTTAGATAAGTTGTGTTTGTTTATTTTCAAGAATATTCTTTCTGTAATCACGTATAACCTTTGTTGATTCTTGAGAAAAGGGAGCAAGAAAGGTACCATGGCTGCCTTTATTCATTTTTATTTTTCCGACTACTTTCGATATATTCTAATATCGACATCTGGGTTACGATGGCCAAAACAAATAATTGTGTTTCAGCCATCATAAGCCGGAAGTTGGTATTTGAATATATCGAAAGCATCTGTAATTTATATATTTAAAGGATTTTCACTGGCCCTACTTTTTAAATTTTTTAACTTGTGTCATTATTACTGCTGCCTTCATTACCGTTCACTATATATATATATATATATATATATATATATATATATATATATATATATATATATATATATATATTTGTGTATAAATGCAGACATTGAAATCAAAACAAAAAGTGTGTTTCATCATATATATATATATATATATATATATATATATATATATGAATATAGTGAACGGTAATGAAGGGTTTGGTAATGCGTGTGGATAATTCTAAAGAGGATGTGACCCAGAGAGCTCAATGTAACACCAGAGCAAATATTAATTAAATAATTAAGAAAAATAACCTTAAGGTTCCATGACAGGGAAATATATTATAGTCATGGAAACTTCTTGCTTGTCTTTTCTTCATTATTTAATTATATATATATATATATATATATATATATATATATATATATATATATATGTGTGTGTGTGTGTGTGCGTGTGTGTGTGTGTGGTGCAGCAGTTGTTATAGAAAGTGTGATAGACAGTGATAGACAGGATATGAATCAGAAAAAATATTGGGATCAGACTTATAAAAATAGTGAAAAGATACATGATGAATCTAATAGAATATCCGAGAAAAGAATTACAAAGATGGTGAGTTGTCGACGTTGTAGAATGAATAGTTTGGATGGAGGGTAGCCATGTTGAAAAATATATGTTTTTAAATAGAAAAATGAATAGAATAAAAAGAAAAGAAAAGGAAAATGGAAAATGAAAAAGAAAAATCAAGTAAAAAGTAAAGGCACCCGCTTTTGACGTCATTCAAGCGTATGATACGCTTTGGCAGATCCACGTGTGTTGAACCAACGACGGTCTCCCTTCGAAAGACATGGCGGCGTTCGCTGCGTAAAGAAATCATCGCGCCGCTCTGGCCGTGAATTTACGATTCACTACTTTTTTTTTTTTTTTTTGCTTTCTTTTGAGAAAGATTTACTATGTTTTCTTTTCTCTTTTAGTCCATTTCTCGCCTTTAGTTTCTCTTCCACTCTCTCCTTTTCTCGTATCGTTTAATCTCGTTACAATTTCTTCTGTTTCATGCGTTTTTTTTTTCGATGCCAATTCTTTTTATTATCTTCTACTTTTTCAGTACTCAGACGATTTGTCAATGATTTTTCTTGTTTATTGTTTGTATATTTTTTTCTTTTAGCTTTTAACAAGTTGTAACGTTTATTTTCCTTTCTCTCTTTTCAGTCTTTTTATCTTCGAGTTTCTGTCGTTTTTTTTTCTTCTTTTTGCTGCGTTTTCTGTTTCTTTGCTTCACCGTTTCTTTTCTGCTGTCTTCCTTTCTTTTTCTTATCTCCTTCTCTCTTTCTTTCTTTCACCGTTTCGCTGTCTTACGTCTTTCTTTTTTCGTCGCTTCTTTTTTCTTTTTCCTCTTTTTCCTTCACGCTTTCATTTCATCACTGCGTCTCTTTTATTACGTCTTTCTTTCTTTTTTATCGTCTCTTTTTTATTCTTTCTTTCTTTCTATTTTTATAACTTCTTTTATTTCTTTCTTTTTTTTCACCGTTTCTTTTTCTACTTTTTTTTTATCGCTTCCATTTTCTTTCTTTCTTTTTTTTCACTTTTTCTTTTTATCACCGTTTCTTTTTCGTCTTTCTTTCTTCCTATTTTCATCGCTTCTTTCGTTTTTCCCCGTTTCCTTTCCATCTATCTGTCTTCTTTCATCGCTTCGTTTTTCTTTTTTCTTTCTTTTTTCTTTATTCCTTTCTTTCTCTGTTACTTTGTTTGTTTGTTTGTTTATTTGTTTCTTTCTTTCTTTCTCACCGTTTCTATATCCTTCCTTCTTCCTCTCATTCTTTGCTTTACCTTTTCGATTTTATCATTCTTTCTTTCTAATTTGTTCTTATTTGTCATTTCTAAGACCCCTTTTCTATACTTTTCTATCGTATTTCCTACATCCTTTGAAAATGTTTACAATTTATTCCCATTTCTCCTATAGTTTTTCTGTTTGTTTGTATTTTGCTTTTTCATTTCTTTTGGTCGCACTGCCATTTTTTCTTTCTTTCTTTTTTCTAATTTATAATAAAACCTCTTTGTTTGTTTGTTTCGTTTTTATTCTATCTTGCTTACTTTCTTCCTGCTTTTCTCTCTTTCTTTCTTTCTTTCTTTCTTTCTCTAATTTGTAAGGAAATCGTCTTTCTTTCCTTCGTTCTTTTCTTCTTTCCTTTCTATCTTTTTTTATTTCTATCTTCTAATTTATAACGAAAACGTCTTTCCTTTCTTCCTTCCATTCTTCTTTCTTTCTTTCCCTTTTTCTTCCTTCTCTCCTTCTTTATTTAATTCTTTCTCTAATTTGTAATGAAAACGTCTTTCTTTCTTGCTTTTTTTCTTTCCATTCTTTCTTTTTTCTCTCTTTCATTCTTTCTTTCTTCTTTAATTCATTCTTTCTGTAATTTGTAATGAAAACGTCTTTCTTTCACATTTCTTTCTTTCTTTCCTTCCTTCCTTCTTCCTTTCTTTCTATATTTCTTTCAATTCTTCTAATTAATAATAAAAACATCTTTCTTTCCTTCCTCTCTTTCTTCGAAATTTAATGTAAATTTTCTTCTTTACATTTTCCTGATTTCTCTTTTATTGTCTTTTGTTTCCTTCCATATTTCTATAAATCATTACTCATCTTCACCCGCCACATTTTCACTATCAGTAGTTTTCACTTCTCTCCTCTTGTAAAATATACTCGTATACTTTCTTTTTGGCGGGGCTTAACTTGAAGTCAAGTCACCAATCTCATACCATATCCTCCTCCATGAGAGAAAAAATATTCTCGCATCACCATAAAATAACCTTAGTGCAAGAATCACACTGTGATTAAACCGCCAAAGGCGAATTCCTACCATCAACAATAACACAAAAACAGTGCGAAGTGTAAAACAAACCAATAGAGAGACATTGAAAAAACAAAAGATACGTCTGAGCATGCGCATTAATAATAGCTTCTATCTTTGGGCGTAGAATTTTTCAGACTGAACAAAAAATACTGAAGTATTTAAATGCTTGTGGTAAAATATAATAAAAAGAAATAACAGTCCTAGAGAAATTGGTTATTGGTGGCAAATAAGAAATCAGCCAATAGAAAACGAAAAAAAAAAGCGGGATTCCAGTGAAATTTATAGACCGACACGACAGACGTATCAGAGAGAAAGAGATAGGCGTTCTATTAGTTGTTAAAATAGCAGCAAAAGCCTTCTTAAGCATTGTCTTATTCGCATTTAAGCCAACATTCTACGGCCGATTTATTCGTATTAGCCTCACAGCGAGAAGCAGGTGCGTTGAAATAACTAACTCAGTAGAGGGAGGCAAGCGTAAACTCATGCGAGCTTCTGGTTTTGTTATTAGCAAGTGTAGTTTTCTTTTTCTAAATGCCACGTTCCTTCAGGATGTGGGACATCATGGTTCTCCACGATTTCCTATCATTTTTCTCTATATACAGGTGTCTGACCCTCGGTTTGCTGAATTGCTTGACCCTCATGGAAAATGATGGGAGAGTCCAGTACAACTCCACACGGTAACCCTCTACTTTGAGTGGCTCTTGGGAATTGTATTGGGTGAATAATTAATAAGACAGTGAAGAATTTTGTAATTTTACCATCACTGCTTAGTTGCTAAAATTCAAGTCTATAGAACCCAGTCTGTTTGTTCTATTTATCCGGACTAGAGAAGGACAACAGCGTTTGGGGGAAGAAGAAGATTCAACTTTTCAAAATTGTGGTTGGTTCTGCATAAAGCCGTCACCAATATAATCAAATCCCAAGGTTTTATTTAGCATGGAAAATGACAGGAGAGTCCAGTACAACTCCACACGTAACCCTCTACTTTGGTGGCTCTTGGGTGAACATTAATAAAACAGTGAAGTTTTGTAATTTTACCATCACTGAATCCATAGCTGGGGGAAGAAGAAAGATTCACACATTTCAAAGGTTATTAACGGATGTAATGGATTCTGGAATTCGAACTTGGCTCTCCGATTCCTGAATCCAAGCCGCTATTCTCCTCCCTCTCTCTCTCTCTCTCTCTCTCTCTCTCTCTATATATATATATATATATATATATATATATATATATATATATATATATATATATATATATATATATATGTAATTCCACCCCAATCAAGGTGATAGTGTTACTATTATGCAATTTTTAAAATTCCATTTAATCTTGCCTTCAATTGTTTTGTTTTTTAAGGAGTAGAACTTTATTCATTATTTGCGCTTTTGGATTAGCTTTCCTCTTTCTGGTAAACTTTTCCCATTCTCTTACTGCCAGTAACCCCTTGCGTCTTAGTGGCATTATCACCTTACGTCGGGTTAAACGATTAAAAAAATCACAGAAAATAACAATCATATATATATATCCTATATTTCTTGTTGAATGAGAGACGTGTGAAATGTGAAATGTTCGGCGAAACATGGGAAACGCTGAATAACTCGACAACTGAAAAGACTGATCATGTTACCAAATTTGGTTCGTATCTTGTGTATCTCCATGACTACTGTGACGATATTATTTTTTTTTATTTGTCGAAATTTACAAAGGTGTGTGCTATGTTTGTAAAATCTTTATTGTGGAACTTTTTTTTTATTGTCCCACTGTCAATGCCTCCAGTCTATGGGACTATTTTTATCTCCATTTCATCCGTCTGAAGAGAAAGTAATCGTTATCTGGTTACCAGTGAAAGTATTCCACCAACAAACAGCAGGTTTCAGATTCCTTATCTGATGAGACTTAAAGCACCAATGTTACAAAGAGACTAAAAGAAAGAAAGAAATGATAAAAAAAAGGGGGAAAGCGAGGGAAACGTAGAGCAATATTTCGGATTTTATTCTCTCCTTGACAACCGTTGGTCTTTATCAGATAAAATTGTAAGTGATACAAAAAAAAAAGAATGATTGGCAAAAGAAAGACGAATGAAACAGTAATAAAAAAAGGCAATGAATGAAAGAAATAAGAACATAGAGATAGAGAGAGAGAGGGAGAAGGAGAGAGAGGAGAGAGAGAGAGGGAGAAGAGAGAGAGGGAGATAAGGAGAGAGAGGAGAAGGAGAGAGAGAGAGAGAAGGGAGAGAGAGGGAGAAGGAGAGAGAGAGGGAGAAGGAGAGAGAAGGAGGAGAGAGAGGGAGAAAGGGAGAGAGAGGAGAAGGAGAGAGGGGAGAAGGAGAAGAGAGAGGGAGAAGGAGAGAGAGAATGAAAAGTTGAGTGATCTTGAAAGAAAAGGAAAGAAAAAGAAAAATCAGGTGAAAGCAAGAAAATATATATATATATATATATATATATATATATATATATATATATATATATATAATGAACATATATATATATTTATATAATGAATATATATATATATATATATATATATATATATATATATATATATATCATTATATATATATATATATTTATTTAAATTCGCTTGATAATGAAACAGAACTAGGGGCTTTAATTAAATTAAATTCTATAAATGAATTTGAAGTTTTTTGCTTCTGTTTTTGAAACATGGTAATTCCTGTGTAGCGATGGAACCATATTTATTTGTAGATTTGCATTGAGCCCTATTTTGTAAAAATAAAATATTAATAAGAGCAGCGGATTATATATCTTACTGTTCTTTCTCTTAATATATATATATATATATATATATATATATATATATATATATATATATATATATTATATATATATATATATATATATATATATATATAGAGAGAGAGAGAGAGAGAGAGAGTGGGTATGAATATATATATATATGAATTTATATATATATATATATATATATATATATATATATTGTATGTAAGCATCAATCCTTCACTTATACATGTTTTATTAAAGACGACAGACAAGGTATTACGACAAAGATTTTATTTAATTTTTCTTGTGTCCGAACAAGTGGTTTCTTTTTTGGACACAGCGTGTATAGTAACTGTTCAAATGTTCTATAATTCCGAGCGCTTTCGGCTATACTTTTAGCCATTATCAAGGAGGATTTTATTCGTTCAATTTAATTGGGTGTCTGGGTTGTGTGTATGTTTTTTGTGTTATAGAGATGTTTTATTTTCCGAACACCATCAGCATAGTTAACACTGAGCGAAGTCAGTAAAGAGAAAAAGCGAAATCAAGAGAGGGATACATAAAAAATTATGGGATCTGCAGATATATATATATATATATATATATATATATAGAGAGAGAGAGAGAGAGAGAGAGAGAGAGAGAGAAAAATGTGTGAGAAAATCATCAAAAAGGAAGAAAGAAATCGGGAGAGACATGTAAATGAAAGCAGAAGATGAGAAGAGAGAGAGAAAGTGAGAGAGATAGAAAAGACAGAGGTTAAAACAGAAGAATAGAAGATGAAAGAAAGATCGAACTCAGGAGAAAGTTAGAGAGATAAAGAGACAGATATTAAAAAATAGTAATTAGGAAATATTAGAGAAAAGTCGAGATTTCAGATCTGAAGAGGAAAAAAATGAGAAGAAACAGGAGAAGAGGGTAAAACAAAGTGTAAAAAGGATTTGCAGAGAGAGAGAGAGAGAAAAAGAGAGACACGAAGAGAAAGGAGAGAGAGAAAAGAGAGAGAGAGAGAAAAAGAGAGAGAGAGAGATAGAGAGGGGGAAACAAAGTGAAAAAGGAGTGTGATCAGAAGAGAAAAAAGATAGACACCAAGAGAAAGGAAGTGATAAAAGAAGAGAGAGAGAGAGAGAGAGAGAGAGAGAGAGAGAGAGAGAGAGGGTTAGGTGAGAAGATAGAAAGAAAAAGAGAGAAGTCGGGAGAACTGAAGGAAGAAAACCAATGACCAGAAGGAAAGAGAAAAGAAAGAGATATATCATAAGTGATATATAAAAAGGAAAGTAAATTAGAAACAGAAAGAAAGCGAGAGAACAAGAGAAAAAATAAAGGAACACAAGGGGGTGGGTCTAAGAAGAAAGAAACAATGAAGAAAAAAACACAAAGATATAGATTAGTTGAAAAACAAAATGAGAAGAAAAGAAATCAAAAGAAAAGAAAATGAGAGCGTGATGCAAAGAAAGAACGAAATTAAGAAAGCGATAGACAGAGAAAGCGTCAACGAAAAGAAAAAAAAAAGAAAGAAAAGAAGAAAGAGCAAGGTACGAGAAGAAAGGTTAGAAGTGAATAATGAAACGATGAATTTAAAGGTTGTAAGGGCAAATCACGCCGAACTTAACAATGTGACTTGATAGCGTTTCGTTTAAAAGTTTCTGGCGGAATAATCAAGAGTTTAAGGTTGCAAAATGGCGACGTCAAAGATAATGTTTGATCGCGACGACAAACAGCTGTTTCAGATTTCCGATTTGACATGGTCGATTTTTCTTCTTCTGTTTCCTTATCCATTTTTTACTTTAGAAGTTTTCAGTTTGTCTCAATGAGCAGGAGAATTTCTCCAGTCTTTGAACCATTTAAGAAAAGGATCAAAGAATTTAAATTAGAGGAAAAGACATTTCTGCTGACAGAGTCACTAAGGAAAATAAAAATAACTCTGTCTCACGTATAAAATAAACTTGACGTTTCCTTTTAGTCTCCGGGAGAAAAAGCAAGGCAACATGGTTTCAATAAACAAATAAATCAGCGTATATGCAAGGCTATGAGGATCTCCTTAGTAGGCCTAGCATAGAAATAAATACAATTTGTGAGCCGTTAATAAAAAGAAAAGAAAATGACAGTAAGACTTCAACAGCAGCCGCAGCAGTCAAACCATGACAAGCAGCAAGAACACTTGCAGCTTAAATCAGCAGTCAGTTTATGTTTATTGCTCCAGTTTCACTACAGAACAATGGCCTGCTGGATTAAAGCGCTGCTTCGAGAATTTGGTGATATAGTGGTTGTGAGTTCAATCCTTGGACTCAGTGAAAACGTGCGAACAATCGGTGGAGTATTGGATAGCGGCTCGGATTTCGGAATCGGAGAACCGAGTTCGAAATCCGGTCGAGTTCATTATATTCCTTTACGTGCTAATAACTTTAGGAAATCCAATTTGTATCCTCCCATCTATGGGTAAATAGCAGGACCGACAGTCTTTTATAGCCTTTGGACGGCTACAGGTCTACTGCAGAAAAAATGGCATCTTACTGCGGGGAAAAATCTGCCTCGTCAGTCATGTATCGAAAGATACATGATAGCCTAAGCGTGTATCACGCATTGCACATAACTGAATATTAGACAATATCCCTAGACATGTGCAGTGGAGCAAGAACAGTCTTAACCCGTAATATTTTATCATAGAAAAAAGTGAATAAAAATAAATTTCTCAAGAGTTTATATTCTGAAAAATTTCAAATATTTTGTTGTAAACCGCATTTTTAATATCACCCCACCCCTCCAAAAGAAAACTAGAGCTGTGATATCGGAGACCTCAGTGTTTCTGCTACCCCATGTCTAGTTTCGAAGAACGTCTTTACAGATTCCTTTTTACAGAAACCTGATCTTTACCAAGATTCTCTTTACAGAAACATGAATTATGTGCAGCTCCACGGTCCTTCTGAAAGGTCATTAACTGCAATCTCATTCTGTAGAATTTTGTAATGAAAATAAGAAAAAAAGAAATATTCCAGTATGTTGAAGTAGTTTTTACATGTAATATTACCATCTTGCCGGTGAGAAATTTTACGCTTGATACACATTTAACGATTATTTCTGGAGATGGTTCACGGCCACATCAAAAAATTGTTGATTAATATTTGTTTGTTAATTGTAAAGAGAAACAGGAGAGCGTTTAAAGATTTAGTGAAATGTTATTCTATGCAGTTTGACTACTGCCCA